GTATATTAGGGGCTAGATTTTAGCTATGATTTCAAGTAACCATTCAGGATCTTGAAATTCAACTCAGAGGTAAATAATTTGGCTGGGTTGCCTGAGATATTCATTTTTCCTTGTTGTACTTGTATACTGGCAGGGAATGGGTTGGCTGGTCATGCACCTGCTAGAGCTGCCTTTCTTCACAGTATGTTGATGGGGTAATTACCAGGAGAGGGCACCAGGTACTAAATCTTCAAAACACAAGAGTATATCTTTTCTGTGCCTTAGTATTTGGCACAAATTGTTGATAGCAGTGACAAGGTGAAATCAGAGCACACAAGTATTTTCCTGTAACATTATTCCATTTTATCTGGCTTTCTTCAATTCCTTCTGTATTTTTCCCACCTTGCATTTTAAGCCTTTTCTCAACTGTTGACACAATCCAAGGAGGGCTATGCTTTGTCTCTCCTAATTGCATTATTTACTTTCCTAAATTCACTTACTCATCAAATGACTCAGTATCTGTTGTATTTCTGCTTTGTAATAGGTGAAATACTAGACAACTAAAACATAAAAATTCATCCACCTACTCCATCAATTTTGGTTGTTTACAAAGTGCTACCTGCTATAAACAGAGACGTAAGACACAGTCCCTAGCTGATTCCGAGTAAAAATTCAACATGTATTTGTTCAAGACATGAGTGCCTTAAAGGAACTTACCCTTTCACAGTGGAGTAGCAAATATTTAGGTAATTACAAGCAGAATTGAAAAGGGTTATCCTAAGGAAAGTCTGCAGGAATGGAGGCTTTGAGAGACCAAGAAGTTGTTCCCACAGATACATCATCCATGCTGAGGCTTGGATCATGAGCTGAGGTGGTTGAATGGAAGGCATGAAGGCACATAGTGTATTCATAACAACCCGTGTGGACAAAGGGGAATGAACATGGGAGGGGACACAGCTGAAGACAGAAAACAAATAAATCAGTATAATTATAATTAAAGGGACCAAGATAGACTTCTTTACAAGGAGAGAATGTAGGTCAAGTAGCATTATGAAGTTCTCCTAAGATCTCACTGCTGGCTGCCAGCATTGGCAGAGCATCCAGATACTGGTCTGGACAAGGTGCACACCACTCCCATTCACATTCCATTGGCAAGAACTAGTCATTGGAATTTTTCTTTACTGCAGAGCAGCCTGGGAGAGGTAGTCTAACTGTATTCCCAAGAGGGTTTTTTGGGGAGTAGTGGGGGGAACAACTGGAACCCAAGAGAAGTTTTTTTGCGAGTGGGTAGAACAAGAGACTTGAAGGCATCCCTGTTACCAGTTCATCCAATTTGCCAGGCAGTGGTTTCCATGGATGTCTGTGGTAGACAGACAGCTTAGAATTTAGGAAAACCTTTAGAACAGCACTGGTCAGCCCAAAGCATTTTAGGCAATATGGGATGCAAGATCTTTTCTTCCCAAGGAGGTGTACAAGTAGCATGTTCAAACAATAGACAAAGTCAGGTTCTGAGTTGGAGATTATCAAAAACTACAAAGGGTCTGAGTTGTTGCTGTTGTTCCTCTTACTTGCAGGCTAGAAAGTCAACTTGTTAGAGCTTCATGGATACTGACAGACTTGAGATGACTGGGTCAGAGACAAATGGCTGTTTACTTCACAACAGCAGCAGTGGCCAGAGTGTCAACATCTTATCTCACCAGTTCCCCAACCCATATTTCCACAGAGCAATGTTAAAGCGAAGAAGTGACACCTGCTGATGCAGTGGGCTGTATGATAAGGAGGAACCTGAGTTTAGGGAATCTGGGCCTTTGATAAGGGGTGGTAAACATTCCTGTTCTTTGTGCTGGAGAAGGACTCTCTCTCTCTCCTCCAAGGCTGTAAATCATTTTGCCTCTACCCTGAAGAGAGACACTACCTATTGTCAAGACTTGCCCACTTTCCACATATTCTCAAAGACAGTCCAGAAGAAAGGCATACAATCTCCCTCCTTGCAAGAAGTACAGAAATGAGACAATTGGAAAATTACCATCTGGCAATGATAAGAGGTTCATCTTTAGACAACAACTTCCTTGACTTGACCCTTATCCTGATCTCTACATAGCAGCAGCCATAGGGCTCAGTCTTCAGAGCATTTCTCATCCTGCCTATACTCACTGACTTGGGAGATTTCTGTCACTCAAGTCTTTGAACACCTCAACCTCCTGTTGTCAAAAATAAGCAGATGTTCCCAAGTTTACAATTTATGCTTGGACATTGCCCTCATTTCCAGACTCAAATACCAAACTGCCTATCTGGTATCTTCACTTGGTCACTTTGGAGGCATCTCAAGTTCCTCATATTCCTGATTCTCAACCACACCAATCCTGCTCCTTCCTCAATCCAGTAAACAGTGTCATCGGCTCAGCTGTTCAAACCCAACTCTGCCTTTGCCACAACCAACCCATAAACCCGTAGTCTTTTCTAAGTACATCATGAACCTAATCTCCCCTCTCTTCCTATATTACAAACATCCAAATTCCAACTACACTGTTTCTGTCCTTACCAATGGCCTTCTCATCTTACCCCATCCAATTTCAATGTATAGAGCAGCCAATTATTCTTTTAAACATAAAACTAAGTGTAATCTCTCCTTCGCCTCCAGCCTTTCAATAACACTGCAATATGTCTAGAATAAAATCATGGTCAGGACCACATATGATCTGACCTCTGTTTCCAACCACATTGTCCTCCTACTCCCTGCTTGCACTCTGCTGCTTCAGAAGATGCAGGCGTTGGGCCTTCCTTAGGTTATGTTCTCTGTGCTTTGTTAGAGAACATCATCTCAGACTCAGTCAGATGTCAAAGAGTGATGGGGATCTTTCCTGACCGTCTGAAATAAAATAACAACAATCCCTACCCCTTTTTCTTTCAAATTGATTTTGTTATAAAGATACTTCAAAAATATCTGGAAAATAGAATTAAAAATATGAGTTTATTTTAGTGCAAACCAGTTCTGAATCAATACATATAATCAGCCTCCCAAAGTTCATGGAAATGCAGGCTTTGGGAGAAAACTGTATGGATTTCAAAATTTTTTGTACCAACATAAACTGGTCTTTAAATTTCAATTTTCTACAAACTTTGTGAAAGACCCATGCATTTCTGATAGTTCTGATTATCACCATCCAGCCTAGCCATGTTATATACATCAAGAACTTTATTTTGTGTGCTCACAAAGCTTCTGCTTCACAAGTTATACTAACACAAACTAATTGCTCAGTGCCTGCATGTTAAAAATTGGATGGATGGATGGATGGGTGGTTGGATGGATGGATGAAAGAATAATAGCTAATATTGGACCGAGAAAAATTGAGGCCAAATAAGGGACATGGAAAGCGTGTATCAGAATCTATCTTGTTCGAGCTAAGTAAATTGGTTTTATATAGCTGCAACAAAAGGTATATTTTCTAGCATTTTATTAATTCTGGATTCTCAAGAATTCTTGCAATGTTCTTCCAGTTCTAATGGATCAGGGAATTCAAAATTGAGCCTTAACTCCTGAGAGGAACCTAAGCGGTCTATAATTAATTTTCCTCTCTTTGTAGGTTTTATATGTTTGTCTAGAAACCCACTTTTAAAGGATAATCCCCTAGGACATGAGCACAGCCACAAAGAAGCTCATCTGAGATCAGACAATTCAGAAAATGACAAAGTAAGTATTGGATTCTTACATGTTCACAATTTCTACTGATTCCAAAACAACTTCCTGACTACGCTGTGGTGAGGAAGGGGGGAGGGCATGACAATGACTGTTTACAGTTTACCAATGGTCGCTCGTTTACAAATAAATCCTTACCTCACATGTGAGTTAGGAGCTGTAACAGCACAGTGGAAAAGAGCTGACCCTTCCTGAGGGATTCAGAATCTGCAAATCATTATTTCTGTTTCCAAAATTGTTCTTATGGGACTCTCTTATTCTGCTGTCATTTAAAATAACTTTAAAAATATATTTATTTATTTTTCATTTATTTGAAAGGCAGTGTGAAACATAGATAGACATAGAGATACCTTCCGTTCTCTGGTTCATTCCCAAATGATTGTAATAGCGACTGCTGGACCAGGCTAAAGCCAGTCACCTGGATCTCACAGGGGTTCCCACACGGATGATGGCGACCCCAGTTCTCGGACCATCACCTGCTGTCTCCCAACATGTGTATTACCAGGAAGCCGGACCTGGGACTGGGACGGGGCCAGGACTGGGACCCAGGTACTCCAGCAAAGGCAATGGGTCTCCCAAGTAGGACCTTAACCATTGTGCCAAATGTCTACTCCCAGTGTCACTTTTTAGATACAAATTCTGTACTTCCAGGAAAATATCCTTCAATCAAATAAAAAAAAAATAAAGAAACACTGCCAGTCTGCCTTCCAAGCTGATTTTTAAAAAATACATATTTTTATTTTTCAGAGTCCATGTCCATTTTCTGTGAAAGATTTAGCAATGAAGTACGAACATCTCAGGTATTTTCATTTAGCCCATTTTTTTTTAAATGAGTGCCTTATGTGTGACTTAAATTACTTACATCTCATTTCACATCTTTACTGTTTATATTAAATGAAAATTACTGGAGAAAGTCATTCTTAAATTGCTCTGATATTTCATTAGTTAATATTTCACTACAGATTTTAACTTTCTCTAGACTACAGAGACTAACAATTTATACAAAAATTTCTTCTGAATGAATTTCCCCACCTTCTTGGTGATTGTACACCTGCTTTCCTTATAAGGAGAACAAGGAAGTAAATCATGTTGAAGTTGCTTTCAAACACAGCTTTTCTTCTTTACCTGTCCAGGTAGTCTCTGTTTTCATTTCAGTCTTAATGAAAACTTCTTAACTTCCATCTCAAGTTTCTTTTCAAAACAGCGTAAGTAGTATTTAAATTTTTCATTTCAAGCAAGACTTTCACCGATACTTAGCTTTAGTCTCGTAACGTGGAAGGTAATTCATTTTTTAATCTATCTGCAACAGCGAGAACTGAAACGAATGGGGATTGAACTGCTCTGCCTGTTCTTTCTATTTCTAGGAAGGAATGTCTGCGTTCAAGGTAAGAAGTGCGTCTCTCTGTTATGTTGCTTTCGTGGTGTGCTAGACAAACCTGTCATTTGGCTCAGAAACTAGATCTGAAGTCATTTTTTTTTTATTTGGTCTGTTCAACTGCTCTTTTGCCACTGAGAGAACACTTTAACAAATTACAGGCAAACACTGAACTGTTCCCGCAGTGAATGCTCCAGGCTTAAGGTAAATAAATACAAAGGTTGCAAAGGCATTTTAATGAGGAGAATTAAGCAGCATTGCTGAGCAATAAAACTTCTCAATGCCACTGTGACAACCATTTTGGAAACTGTTCTGATTGTAGAAACATTTTCGCTGAAGAGTAATAATCTTCAGAGACAAAAAGGATGTATTTCAAAACCAGAAGTATCTCACTTGAGAAGTGTATTTCATGAGTGTAAGTAATTTGAAAAAGGAACTTGTCATAGTGAATAAAAATAATTAGTAGAATTCTTTGTTGTTTTGTTTCTTTGTTTTTATATACTTTAAGACATAGTGAGAATTGCTAACATTTCGGATCTGACCTTTGGAGACTGAGGTGGACTTGGAGGGGGTTATAGTTAAGTAATTTGGAAGGAATAAGCAGAATGAATGGAGTGTTTGTAACAGCCTGTGTCCTGTCGGGTTTCACGCAGGTGCCTGTGCCCTGGGAGGTGCAGAAACCTGTGAGGAATGCTTGCTGCTCGGACCACAGTGTGCCTGGTGCTCTCAGGAGGTATGACACAACCTCAGCCTGCTTTGAACCATGGTAGTGGCACTCCTGTTCATCTCCTGGCTGATAGTTCTTGCTGGTATCCTGCTTTATGCGGGATCATATGAGAAAAACAAATCAAGAAAGGAAACTCTAAGCATTTGTGGATCCACAGGGCATCCGTGCAACTAATTTCAAAACCCATTTGGGGAAGGAAGAAGTGTCATTATTTTGAAAAAATACTTAACTCAGAAGTCTTTATTTAACCTGGTCCCTCTTATTTTGACATCATTTCTAACTGACTATATGTCATATTGGAGCTCTCCAACAGATCAGAATTGATGGAGGTGATCTTTTATAAAAATAAACACACAGTTGACATAAGTATTCTAGTTGTATTCCATCTGGGAACTAGATCCTTTTCAAACGATTGCTAAATTCTAAGAGACCTTCTCTAAATTTAGGTTTAAGAATACAGTTCAGATATGGTCTGGTTCCTTTAAAAATTACATTTTCACAAACTCAGTGACTTTATATCACATGGATGACAAAGCCCCAAACACTTATTCCTTATCTGGTCAAACTGAAAACTATGTGAATGTAGTTTGAAGGTTGATTGGGGAATTTATAACAAGACATCCAAAGTCACTGCCTGTCCTCTAACTCTGCAGAGCAATCTGTAAATGATTCATAGAAGAGGGATATGTGTTAGCTTTCTGGATTTTAAAACAAGCCTCTGCCCACTGGATGTCATAAACACAATTGAAACATAAATCAAACCATACAAACGCCAAGTTCAGCAAGAGCTGAGCAGCATGCCTAATGGGAAACAAACCTTGACACCCACATCAGAACTGAGCTGTTCCAAGGTGAATGGACATCCACCGAGGGAAACCTCATAGACAAGACTGTCCAGAGCCAGCTCATACCTCACCATTGTCTTGACTGATACAGCCACAAAATTCAAAGGAAGCATGTTTTGTGAACCATATATATAAAAAAAACAAGACTTATATAACGAGAGGGAAAAATTCACATTTTGCGAAATAATGATCCCCTGAAAAAGAACAATGTTGGAGACATACTACATTCAGTCTAGAATTTCTATTTTAAGCACATTTTTTAGCATTAACTTAAGAGGGTTTCTTGAGTTGCTATAATAGCTGTACTTACGGCTGATACTTGACAGCCATTTTTATTGTCAAAACTTAAGGCCAGATTATTGTATGAAGTCACTCTAATAGTTAAAGTATTTATCAGGATATTCATTGAGGTAACTGGAGCAAAAGCCAGTTTAGGCTTTTGTTTGCCGTAGACATCACCACTGGTGTTTTGGAATAGGGGATAAGTATGAGGATAAGTATGAGGATAAGTCAGAGCAATGTCAGTGGTAAGGGTGATTCTGAGGTCATGAACAGCTGCTTTATCCCTCAGCTACCACCATGGAAAGTTGGAATTTGCCATTTGTGCCCCCAGATCCTCGAGTATGCATATATATAAATGACTTAAAAATTTTTAGTCTCAAAAATCAAATTCAAGAAGGGATGTACTTCTGTAGTTGGTGAACAAGAGTGGCCTAGAATTCTACAGCTGATCTTAGCTCATAGGCCAAGAAGCAATTGGCTTAGAATTCTAACAGGCAATCCAAAAACACACATATCGGTTTTGACATTCTAAGCTTAACTTTGCCTTTTGTTAGCCTAAAACAACCCTGCTATTAGACAAGTTTACTGCAGCTTCATCTCTCTGGTATGGGAATTACAGATTGGACTGGAATAAGCACATCTCCTCTGGGAAACACTGTATTTCACGACTCTACTACCCATGTGGATCAGAAAGGGGCTGGGAAAATCCTGGGTCCTACCTAGAAAAGTCAGCTTTTAAATCATCTTCTCTTCTGTCCTTCCAGAATACTTTATGTCTGAGTTTAAAATCCCCAAGAAGTTGATCTTAGCATAGTAATACTGTCGTATTAAAGGCAACACACAAATGACCAAACTGGTTCAGAGAGCTCAATGGGGACATGTTGCAATCCTTGTCCTTTAGGAATACAAGGAAAAATCCCTTTGTCACAGGATTTGTGACAAAAATCTCTTTGTTACCAAAGCTCAAATAGTCAGGATTTCAATAACCTACAAGTTACCCTGAACAGACATTCACAGGATGACACCAACAATATGGAACCAGCAGTTTCACAGATCTGGTCATGGCATGGGACAGATTTTCTAATTAAAAAGTGACTCTGGTTTTACTCAGAATTTCACTGGCATAATTCCCTGATTATTCAGCCATAATTTAACCTTGGCCCTACAATCAATGTCAGTCAGAGGAAGATATGCTAATGTGGCAAGATGTTAACTGGAAGATCATGTGTACTTAGTTACTGGTATTCTTTTTCTATCGCCTGTTTTTTTTTTTTTCTTTTTCTTTTTTAGAATTTTACTCATCCATCTGGAGTTGGAGAAAGGTGTGATATTCCAGCAAATCTTTTAGCTAAAGGATGTCAATTAAACTTCATTGAGAACCCTGTCTCCCAAGTTGAAATACTTAAAAACAAGCCTCTCAGCGTAGGCAGACAGCAAAATAGCTCTGACATCATTCAGATTGCACCGCAAAGTTTGATGCTTAAGTTGAGACCAGGTATGTCATGATTTTGTAACAGAAGAAAGGGGGCTTCTATTTTGTATTGACTTATGTAAATAAATCAAGTGTCCCCCTATGTTAATACTTTTTGTTATTATACCAACATATCTTGTACCATATTACATAACAATAATTATTATCACACAAATTTCTCATTCTATGGAAACAGAAAATTTGCAAAACACTTTTTAAAAAATTCATAATGGCCACTGGCACCCAAATACATTACCAAAGAAGTCTTGTCTCCTAGGAACTGTTTGAATTACTGAAATGCTTTAAGGCTTGCCTTACTTTCTTCAAGCTCTGTAATGTAGATTTTAACTCTCCTTTGTCTGTTTTTTTCTCAAACTACATACACACAAATTCAGCTTATCTCCCATCTAAATGGATGCTAATTCTCCCAAGGAGATATAAAATATCCTAACTCATACCTCCTTCAGGTGTCCTAAACCTACTGCTGCCGATTCCCATGAAAACTTCTTCACATAGTTCATAAAAGTGCACAGTTTTTTTCCCACTAAGTTCTAATTGCAATGACACAGCCAGCTGGCCCAGCAATTGGCTATTCACAAATCTATTTCGGTGTGTTTTTATGGATCTGCTTTTCCTGCTGGGGCTTTGCAGGTAGTGAACAGACCCTGCAGGTGCATGTCCGCCAGACTGAGGATTACCCAGTGGACTTGTATTACCTCATGGACCTCTCTGCCTCCATGGACGATGACCTCAACACAATCAAAGAGCTGGGTTCCCTGCTTTCCAAGGAGATGTCTAAATTAACCAGCAACTTTAGACTGGGCTTTGGCTCTTTTGTGGAAAAACCTGTCTCCCCCTTCATGAAAACAACACCCGAAGAGATCGCCAACCCTTGCAGGTAAGTAAATGATTCCTTGGCATCTCCTTGTACTGATTTTCTATGAGATAGCCTGCTCTGAGTGCACTTGCCAGCAACTTGCTGGCTCTCTTGCCTCTCATTTGTTTGGGTTTCAGTAGTTCTCTGCAGTCAAGGTGAAGTCATTCTAACTACATAGTTCTACCCTTGGTTCGCCCAGGATCTCCAGTGTCTGCATCCTGTGCTGGTTGTGGTGGGAGTGAAGTAGGGTTTGCCCTCTGTAGTAGGGAACTAACTCAGTCTTCTGCTGTAGGTGCATTGGCTTGGGCCCAGTCCTTAAGCCCACAGATGTGTTCTATCTGTAATAACTACACTTTCTGAGGCTACTTGACAGTAACCTACACTTTTCTCATAGTCTTTTTCCACTCTTATGACTTCTGCCAAAACAATACTTGGTGCACATTTCTCTGACATATTTCAGGAAATGTAGGTTTCTCCTATTGCTTGGAAAAGGTCTTTGCAGCCTTCACTGCTATTAAACTCAGAAGGAAATGAGGCATTTGCTCCATTATAATATGCTATTATCAGCTATTAACACCATGTATTATGCAGGTGATGGTAGAGGAAAATTGCTTTGTGATGGCTTACCTGTACATCAATGACAGGTTCCAAATCAACTTATTTAACATCCTTTTGTTGAAAAAGAACTACCATTTGCTCTGTGGCAGACCCTGTGTGGAAGGCACTGCTTAACATGACCTCATTCAGTCTTCATGTAACAGCAGGTCACATGAACTCTATATCCTCAGGAAGTAACAAAAGTATAAAAGTTCGAGAGTTCAGTAATTCACACAAGGCCACATGACTCATCAATGAACTATACCAAGATTTGGTTTGGTCCAAACCAATCCTATTATGTGCCAATGTATATGAAATGATATTCATATTTTCATCTATCAAAAGCATCTATCTGCATAGCAAAAAGAAGAGTTTTACAATGTCATTTAAAAACATTTCAATGCAGTTCCCAACTCTATAATCTAATATGACTGAAAATAATGAGGAAAGGGGTTTTTCACCAGTTTTAACTCTTAAGTATTCGGTTTGGTCACAAGTATCAGAGACAGGTGCTTTAATATAAATAGAATTTTTCTCCATCTTTTATACCAATTAAGTCCACAGAAAGGCAATTCAGGACTGGCAATTCAGCAGCCTTCCTGGACCATAAAGATAAAATCTAAATGCCCAATACTGGTGGAGACTTTTCTACTTTGTGCTCAGCCAGTGTTGGCACTCAAACTTCATCTTTATGAGCCAAGAAGTATGCTGGGCTGCTATTATTTTTTCATTCCTGGCAAGAAGAAAGGAGGCAAGGGGGAACAAAGCAGACTAGGGGCCCTAACCTGCTCCCCTTGCTCACTCAAATGTGATACAAGCATTTTCATCCCTTTGGGAAGCTCCCTCATGCCCCCATGACAGTAGCTTCTGCTCCTTCAGAGGCCATTACTCTCTGCTTCCTATGTTTAAGACTGAATTTGCCTGTCCTTGGATTTCACACAAATGGGATCATTCAGTCTATAATACCTTCTTATCTGATTTCTTTTGCTCACCATTTTGTTTCTTGACCCTTACCCAGTGTCGTGTTTTTTTTTTTTTAAGATTTGTTTATTTTTATTACAAAGTCAGATATACAAAGAGGAGGAGAGACAGACAGGAAAATCTTCCATCTGATGATTCATTTCCCAAGTGAGCGCAACAGCCGGTGCTGTGCTCCGGAGCCCAGAGCCAGGAGCCAGGAGCCAGGAACGTCCTCCAGGTCTCCGACACAGGTGCAGGGTCCCAAGGCTTTGGGCCATCTTCAACTGCTTTCCCAGGTCACAAGCAAGGAGCTGGATGGGAAGTGGAGCAGCTAGGACTAGAATCAGCGCCCATATGGGATCCCGGCACGTGCAAGATGAGGACTTTAGCCACTAGGCAACAGCGCCGGGCCCTATCCCTTTTGTTTTAAATTAATATATTATTATAGGGATTTACTACATTTTGTTTATGCATTCTTCCATTGAGGAACATTTGGGTGGTTCCTAATTGCTATTATGAAAAATGCTACTGTGATTATTTGCTCATAAATTTCCCTATGAATGTGCATTTAATCTTTCCTACATGGATATTTGCACTGGAATTGCTGAAGTATACAAGTGTCCTTTATATTTTCAAGAAGCTACCTGTTTTCCAAAGTGGGTCTATAATTTTGTATTTTCATCAGCCATGTGAGAAGATTCCAGACCTTCCATATTCTTTTACACAGCCTGGTGCTATTAGTCTTATTAACTTTAGCCATTCTCATTGAGATATATTAGTATGTTATTATATTTTTAATTTGCCTTTTGCTCATGACAGATGGGTTTAAGCATTTTCTCAAATGTTTATTTCTCATTATTTCCTATTTTATGAAGCATTTTTCACCCATTTAAAAAATTTTGGCTTTTTCTTCTTCATATGTCAAGAGGATTTACATACATATATTCTGGGTATATTTTTCAAATATGATTTATAAATATTTCCTTCCAGTCTCATATTTTTATTTTGCTAGCAAAGTCTTTGGTCAAGTAAATATTTTCAATTTTGACAAGCTATAATTTATAAATGTTTAACTTTATGCTTAGTAAATTTTTTGTTCTAGAAAATCTTTTGCCTAAGGTCTCAAAGATCTCTCCCACATATTCTTCTAGAAGCTGATAGTTTAAGCTCTTACTTTTAGGCTCATGATCCCATCTTTTCTATTTGGAATAAAAAAAAAAAAAGGTCTATTTTCATCTTCCATTTCCATATGGCTGTTCTGGTGCTCTAGAACTATTTGTTACGGAAAAATTTTCTTCCCACTTTGAATTATCATTATGTCTTTGCTAAACAGCAATTGCATGTTTGTAAGTGTGTCTAATTCTGGACATTCTGTTCTGTCTGAGATCAGCAGTACATATATCCTGCAATGATCTGAGATGATTGGCATTCCCATTAGGTTCATATTGGCAATTACTTCTAGAGAAAAGCTGAGGTTTGGATTGTGATTCCATTGAAACTGGAGGCCAATTTGGGGAGATTGGGCATCTTAAAACATACTGCAGCTTCCTGACATTTCACATGATTAGCAATTCCATTTTTTAGATCTTGTTTGATTTACACTACCTAAATTTTATTGTTTCCAAAGTAAAGTTCTAGCATATCTTTTTGCTTTCCTTACTCCTGTGGTTTCTTAAAATTTCATTTTCGTTGGCTTGTCGACAATATGAACAAAAAATAGATTTAATGTTTGCTTTATATCCTGCAAAGTTGAAAAATTCTTATTAATTCTAGTCTGATTTTCGTAGTTTTTTCTTCTTCTTCTGGGTCTCCCATGCAGGAGTCCAAGCAATTTTGCTCTCTTCCATGGCTTTCCCAGGCCATGAGCAGAGAGCTGAGTCAGAAGTGAGCAGCCAGGACTTGAACCAGCACCCCTCCAAGATGCTGACAACCCAGGCAGTGGCTTAACCCACTGTATCACAATACTTGCCTACGATTTTTGGAGGCTCTTTGCTGTTTTCTAAGTTCTAGATCATGCTCTCTGAGAACAACAACCTATTTCTCTCCTGTGTCTATGATTAGGTTTTTTTCTTGCCTCATTACCCTGGCTAGGACCTTCAGTGTAATTTTAAATAGAAGTGGTGGGAGAGGATAGCCTTGTCCTGTTCATGGTATTAAGTTCACTAAGCTTTAGTTTTGACCATCAAATATGCTGCAAACTAGTAATTGTTTTGGATCCCATTTGTATGATCAAGGAGGTTTCCTTCTATTCCTCATTTTGATAAAGGCTTCTTGTTTGTTTAAGAAATTATTCATGAATATTGAATGTTTTCCCAGTTCTAGTGGCTTTGCCAAAAAATCTCCCCAGATTCTCAAACAAGCCTCATGGCAATCTGAACACACCTGACCACAGCTAGAGACAAAGGGAGCACACACCCTTCAAATATTCAGGGTTCTGTTGCTGAAGAATAAAGGAAGATGCTAGAATGGTCTCTAACAGTCCCTACACCACTGAACTCAAATTCCCATCAGGTCTTTTAATAATTTGCACTCCCTAGAAATGCTGTGTAATAGATAATAAGGCTTGATAACTATCAAGTATTTCATCCATTTGAAAAAGGAAATACGTTTGATTCTAACAGTCTCCTTGCTGTCTTTTATAAAAACACTTCTATGGTATCTTAACCTTTATTAAAGCATGAAGTAGTGTAATGTGTGTGCAATCTAAGAAGTGTCCTCAGTACTTTGACTTAGTCCACATTCTCCTCCTGCAACAACCTTCAGTACAGTTAAGCAGCAAACTTCCTTCCAGAATTACAAAGAGCTGCCTCTGCCCTGGGGGTATATTTAAAATCCTTCTTCCTCTCACAGGGCAGGTAAGATGTAGCATCACAAAGTACAATGATGCCATGGAGAACAATGAGTAGAAATTTTTTCAGAGAAAATCCTTGTGCTAGATGTGAAAATAGCAGGAAGAAAAAAGATCTGCACCCTGTCCTCAGAGGACAGAAGTGTTACAAGGGAGCTGACACTTGACATGGCAAGATGGTAAGATGCAGAGCCTACAGAGTCAGTGCTGGGGTGGGCATTGATTCACTTAATCACTCATTATGCAACTTTCAGTGGATATGTCACCTTTCAAAACTGCAATTTCTTCTCCCTTTATATTTTTGGAATGTCTATGCTGATCACACAAAGTGACTGCAAGGATTGACTGAGATAATAAACAGAATCACAGGACACAGCCTGACCATGAGTGATGAATTCTCCACAAATAGGTGTTTTAGCAACCACAACGTATACATGAGAAAAGAGCAGAGCCATGTCCAGGATGCAGCATGTGGAGACCCAAAAGATCACATATTTGATCTCTCAAAGGCTCAGTAAACCCATTTTCCATGGGTGATCTTATTCCTGCTGGAAAAAAATTTATCCTGGAAGTTGTTAAATCACAAGTTTGTGTTCTTGCGGGTTTTGTTGCTGATGCTGTTGCCTGGTTGTTTCCCTTTCCCCCACCTTCCTTCCCTCTCTGCTTCTCTGTCCAGAAAGCACCACTTCTCTCATGCATGCACCTACCAAGATGGCAGGTTCATCCTCTCATCGAACTAAACCCCAAAGGCCAAGCCTGACAGTGATGGCATAAGCAATGAGACAGCAATCAGAAGTAAGACAGGAGAGCAGCACAGTTTTTTTCTAATCTATATTCCTCTTGGTCATCACCTTGAACAAACAACTTACTCTCTTAGTGCTGTCTTTTTACTCACAAATGTTCCATAACAGTGAGACCCACAGAGAAATCACTGAACCAAATGAGCTCGGGATGTATCTGAAGTTCAAAACAAGTATTAATTTCCTTCTTTCTCTCACTAGTGTTTATTACTGTTTCTTCAACTGGCAAAGCCAGTAATCCTGAAACAATCAAATATCTAGATTCCTTACACTGAAAAATGAAATCCTCCAAAGCTTTAGTTTACATAAGTTATATTTGAGTGTAACAGCCAATAATCACTGCATTAGCAAAAGTGAAAACATAATTAACCATTTATAGATTCCTTGAACAATTAAAATAAGAAACTTACTACACATGCCTAGACCATGCTTTCAGTGAAAAGTAAGTATTTTCTAAACAAAGCACAACTTAGAAATTCTTCTGTTCTAAAATATAGTTGCACTCATATATTTTTACAAATCTTTTAAACATCTGGTTTAAAAGATAACTGAATCTTACATTAGCTTCTGTACTTAATCTGATATGATTGGTTTTACTTGGATTTTGTGCAGAAAGTGAAATCTCACACAGAAACATAACTGGAAAAGAGAAAAGCATCTAATAGCTTTTCCCAGTGACTAAGGACATTCTTTGATACCACGCTGAAACAGAAAGATAGGTAAAAGTGATTTTCAATGTGGAATTGGAAGCAGTAGATGTTTTATACTCAGTGACACGAGTCTTTGCATGGTTCTTTCACCAGTGTTTGATTTTGTAATATCATGCATTAATCATTTGGAAAATATTGGCTCAAAAGTCAGAACGTCCAAATTTCATGACTGAATATTAAAAGCTCAGATTTATTAATATCACCACAAATCTCATCAGAACCAGTTAAACTCAAGCAATCACACAAGTACCTTTTTCTCTTTAAGCACTGTGCTTCAGTGTACAGCAGAAATATTCTGAGCATTTCCCACCATGAATTGAAGAAAGCCTAAACACAATAAATGTCCTTCACTGCTTTATCAAGGAAGAAGTGCAGCCAGAATTTGTGTTTATGATTATGGTGAATTCTGGCTGGTAAAACAAAAACAAAACACGAAAATGAGGATGAACATTGCAGTTTTGTGCAAGTACATTTTAGGACTCCTGTCTTGGTTTGTGCTGAAGCACCAACAGTTTTCTTCAATGTTGCTTTTCCATGATTAGTGCAGGCATCAGCATGGGAAATAACACCTTTACATTACTGTGAATTGGTTAGGACTTACCGGCTTCCAGGGTGGTCTCAAACCCCACGAGTCTGTGCACTGCCCCTTAAAACCCCACCCTTTTAATCTAATCTCTAATGCCTTTGGAATAGCCTTTTATTTTCATTGCATAGGGAGTTACTACAAATTGATTTCACCCCATAAGAAAGTATATTTTGCTGAGGTCCCAAAGAAACACAAAACATTTCTCTTTGTTTTTATATGTATACATGAGCTCTAATATGCCTTTAAAAATATTTAATAGAATAAAAATTAAATTTTATTCTTCTATCTAACATTTTAAAAAATTTATTTAAGAACTTCATTCCATATGTATTGTGTTTGTTTTGAATTTGCTGCCCACAAGGAGGGATCTACTGCAACTTTACAAAAGAAGAAAATGAACACGAAATATTTAAATGGATTTCCTACAGGTACAATTAAAAATATAAATAAGCTCTAGTTTTTATTGGAAAGTTAATATATCCATGGGAAAATACAGAAAGAAGAAAATACAAGTCATTTCTAACCCTGCTTAGAAGATGATATTAATTTTGGTCCATATCATTTTAATTATTTTATATTTGTTTTTATATTTATTTAAATTTTTGCAACAAAAACTAACTAAAAGTAGTAGTCCTTTACATTATGTTTTACATAAATCCTACATTCTAAATGCAAATCTATTGCCCAGGGACTCAACATCAAATCACTTTGTGAGAAATGTTTACCTCTTCCCACTGCTGTACTAAGACAACCTCAGCCAGTGTGAGCATGTGCTGGAAAAAAACTCTGACCAAAGCAGGAGCCATTTCCATCCAAAATGCCTGCTGTGACTCCCCTCGTTTGCTGTGTCTAGCTGTGGTCTCCCATCACACGTTCATTACTATTTCATTTCACTTTCAAAAGAATTAAGTCATATGTATATATTATGTTAATATACAATAGCTTATATGATATTAATATGTGGTAATTTTCTTATTCACATTTAATTCTAACCAATAATGATGCAAATTTCTTATGAAATATAGGAATGCTAGCTCTTTGATTCTAAAAGATGCTCAATGATATTCTGATATGTGAACAAGCAGTCTCAAAGAGATGAAACAGACAATTTCTAAGAATATTTGGGGGACAGGGACAATGGCATTCTGAATGCCAATATACACTTTTCATCGCATATACTTTTCATAGCAACTTTGTGAAGTAAGTACTATTGCTATGCCCAGTTCTATGGATGCTGTCACTGAAGTCCAAAAGTGTTAACTCACTTGCCCAGGGATAGAAAACATTTAGTCCCTTTATTCTAATCATAATGATTTTCTTCCACTCTATATCAACTTTAAGCACTATAGGAATAAATAGAATAAACATCTAAGGCAGCTATTTTTTAAAAACTTAAAATCTCTTCCTCTATATCATGCTTTAAAACAGCGAGCATATTTGAAGATGGAAAAGTATCTGCATAAAAAGTTTTTTGTTAATGTGATAAAATAGTAACTTGGTCATCTCAAAGAGTTTATTCTAAGCGAATATGTGAAATACTTTCAAAGACATACAGATGGGTCAGCATATTAGTTAATTAAAGATTTTCAACTAATTTTCAGTAATAGATGATTAAGTTAATTAACAACAATATAGCTCACAATTATTACAGTGGGCATGTTAATCTTTCCCTTTATACTTTTCACATGAAACCCCAAATTTTTTTAATGAACACACATTATTATTTTAATAAAAAAATATGATTTCAGGGATATCATTAGCCAAATCCATTATCTGTTCTCAGGTCTGTGTTAGACTCTGTGTGAAGTGAATTATGTAAGAAAGCACACTAACATTTATTAAGCATTTACTCTGAAAAGCTCATTACACTGTGCTTCGCATATTTAATCTCATTCAAGCTTCACAATAACCATACTTGGTAGATCCTATCTGTGGTTGGCACTTTCAAGTTTCAGTGAAACTTGATGCCTGACATTAAAAATAATAGAATAAGATTGCCTTCTGAGAGTTACGGTTATGCATAATGAATCAGACAGGAAATATGAAAAGTGACCTGAAAGTGACAGGTTAGTTCCTGCACTGACTGCATCAGACTTGTGAACAGCTAAAAAGTAGGCCAGGTGGACTGGGAGGGGGGGCAAAAAATTAAGGGCAGCACAAGTGTGGGATGCATTTATCCAGGAGCCCTAGACCAGGTGCTTCCAGAGTTTCCAGACTTGTTATCCCATAAACTTTTGTTTACTGAGGAAGCCATCTGAGGATGGGGCTGGGGTGACCAGCTACGACTCTCAGCATGCATTTGGGAGATGGCTCTCTGGAGTGAGCTTCAGGCTTGGGTCCTCCAACTTCCTTAGGGCTGAAGCTTGGGGACAGTCTGGATTCTGACCTGACACAAAGAAAAGGACTGCCCTCACTGGCATCAGCATTCTGGCCTCACTGAGACCATGTCACTCCCTGTGGAAGAAAACACAGTCCTGTTGAACCATCGCTCCTAAGTGAAGTGTAGGATAAGGCTCCTTGTTTTGTATGTGTTCCTAAGTACTTTATTAATACATATGGTCCATTAATTCACATTGTACACTCAGACCAGAGCACTATTTATCATGCCCAAAGGACACTCATCCCACCTGTATCTTCTCCATAAAGGCACATCAAAAATTTCTTGCACTTAGGGATGCTAAAGAGCACTTCAGCATTATCCTAGCAGGCCATTCTATCAGTGATCCACTAACAACAACAACAACAACAACAACAACAACAAAAACCAGAAAAATGGGGCTGGTGTTGTAGCTTAGCAGGTAAGCCACAGCCTGTTATGTTCACATACCACAAGGGCACCAATACATGTCCCAATGTCCCAGCTGCTCCACTTTTGATCTGTGTCCCTGCTAACGGCCTGGGAAAAGCAACAGAGAATGGTCCAAGTATTTGGGCCTTTGCCATTCATGTGGAAGATCTGGATGAAGTTCCTAATTCCAATAGTGTTAGACTTTAGAACCAAGAACCCTGCTTTGATGCCTTGATAGGTAGGGCTGGGCATATAGGAGGAAAAAAGCAGTTTCCTCTCTTATCTTACTACAAGGTGACTCACTCTTGATGACAGCTTGAAGTATCAGAGTACAAGGCATTGTTGTCCTCATGAAAATTTAATGGCAGAATTTGTTTGTGAGGTAATAGGAAATAATGATTGCACACACACACACACACACACACACACACACACACACACACACACACCACACATACAGGAGGGAGGAAGGGGTGGGCAAGTGGGGATCCCTATACTTTCAGAAATATATCATGGAAAATAATAAAAATAATTTTTTAAAAAGAAGTAGCTGTGGATAAGTGTCTCTAGTACAGTCAACATGGAAGGAATTAATCTTCATTTAAGGAACTATTGCCAGCCCATCAAATCCACCAGTTATGTGCTTCCTCATATTTTATCAAGAATATTTTTACATCTTGCTTTTGCAGTAGTATACCATATTTCTGCTTACCTACATTTGGATTCAAGCACATTTTGCCATTGACCAATGATGCTGAAAGATTTAATGAAATTGTGAAGAATCAGAAAATTTCTGCTAACATTGATACACCTGAAGGTGGATTTGATGCAATCATGCAAGCTGCTGTGTGTAAGGTATGCTGAGTAGCGCTTTCATGTTGTAACATAAATTTCATCTCTTATTAACAAAACTACTTTGAAAAATTATAGTACATTTACTATCTGTAATCACTACATTTCATTTTTATTCAAAAGTTTTTTTTTTTATTTGGAAGACAGATTTTTTTTTTTACAGAGATACAGGGAGACATTCCACCGGTTCACTTCCCAAATCGTTGCAATAGCCATAACTACGCTGAGATGAATGTGGGAGCCAGGAGCTTCTTCTGGGTCTCCCACATGGCCTTGGGTCATACTTCTCTGCTTTCCCAAGCCACAGACAGCAATTTTGATCAAAGTAGAGCAGCTAGGACTCAAACTGATACCCCAATGGGATGCTGATGCTTGCAGGTGGAAGATTAGCCTAATGTACCATCACACCAGCCCCAAATCACTATATTTCTACATTCATTGTTTTTCTTGAAACACAAAATTTCAGAGCGAGCATTTGGCTTAGAGGTTAAGACATGCCATCCCTGTTCCACCTTGAGGTGTCTGGGCTGTATTCCCAGTTCAGGCTACTGATGCCAGCTTACATGATAATGTATACTCAAGGAGCCAACAGACAACAACTCAAGGAGGGAGTCCTCTGTCAGCCACATATGAGACCTACATTGAATTCTTGGCTCTTAATTTTTGAAATCTTTCACTGAATCTTTTTTTTTGAGGGTGTCACAAGCATTTGGGGAGCAAAGTAGCGAATGAAAGTTCCACCTATTTTTTCAAATAAAGACACAGCTTTTAAAAACAAAAAGCTTCACAGTTTCTATAAAATTTCATATGCAATCAATTTGAAATAGAGATCAATGTTTATTGTTCTAGAATTGTAATAATCTGTACTTATAATGGTGTTGGGCAAATTATTAATATTTAAAGACATAGAACAGATTATTTCTTCACTTATATCTGGTTCAAAAAAAGGTGAGGGTAGAACAATGATGAAAAAAAAAAACCTAAAATGCCTGGCGTTAGTATAACCTCCACAGATAATGATTTATCTGATGTTTGAACCAAAGACCTAAACATCAGAAGTCATATTGTCTCAACATCCCAGGAATTTGGTTCTTCTTGACTATTTAACAAGTATCCACAGGAGTAATTTCCTTATCTTTAAATAGTAGCTTTCCATAGTTAATATCAGGAAATGGAGCAGAAGCTCCAGGAAGGTGGGAGGGAGGAAGACTTAGAGGGGGAAGGAAAAGGATAAGGTGGGATAGAGCAGCCAGGATGAACTTCTGCCCAAGTAGTTCCTGGACTAATCTTAATTAAAGGGAGAGCTCTGCTGAGACACAGACGGCAGACAATCTTAATTAGCACGACCCTGGAGCCATCCTTCGATAAGCAATCCTTATCCTTGTATTAGGTTTGTAATTCTTCGATGACATGTTAGAAAGAGAAATCTATGCCTAAATGTTGGGCGACATTTTAATGAAGCAAGCTTCCTCTGAGTTTATTTCATGTTGCATTCTGACTGGTTTGGTTTTAGCTTGGATTAAGATTCATCTATAACCTCCTTACCGCCTCCTCTCATTTTTCTGGTGAAATGAAAGCTGGAGGACCAGAGAAATAATTAACTTTGTGAAAGTCAAGATCAACTCAATACTGATTATAGTGGAGCTGTTTTATTCTGAAACAGAAATCATCTGAAAATGTTAGCGAGGAAAAAGCAAATGTCACAGAATTTCCTATTTTTTAAAATATATTTTTATTATCAACTCATAATAGACAAAAAGCCTAAATAGATGGGAATTTTTTTTTAATCATCTGAGTGTCCAAGCACAATTGATCCATGTTCAGCAAAGATCTGTCTCTTCTCAATACAACCTGAATGTTTTTTCTCACTATAGGAGAAAATTGGCTGGCGGAATGACTCTCTCCATCTCCTGGTGTTTGTAAGTGACGCTGATTCTCATTTTGGAATGGACAGCAAGCTGGCAGGGATTGTCATTCCTAATGACGGACTCTGTCACCTGGACAGCAAGAATGAATACTCCATGTCAACTGTCTTGGTGTGTATAACCTGTGCTGTGGGCTCTTGGGGGAGGGGAGGGAGGGAGCACGAGGAGGCAAACGAAGCAATGATTGCTGAAATCCAATGAGAAATAGCTCACATGTGGTGAAGGCAGGTCACTTTTATAACTGAGGAAGGTCAAATCACTTCCTCCATGTTTACCATCAGTAAAGTTTGCTCCCTGAGCCCAGGTGGAAGGTGAGGAGATGAGAACTTTTGATCTTGTCTAGCACATGTAATCTCAGAACCTGCAAAACTTCTCAGAGGTCCTAGGACTGGTAATCAACAGGACAGGCAGCTCATTCTGTCTCCACCACAGCCCAGTGAAGGAAGGCACTGGTCAGGATTGGGCTCCCAAGGGGTTGCTGTGAATGATATTCCAGCATTCATACCGTGCTTCCACTGACAACAAAACTCCATGGGAAACTATCAGTCAGATACTCCTTGATTGTTACTCAGAAGCACTAGGCTTGCTATCATTTAAGAAAACACTAATGGGCCCGGCGCGGTGGCGCAAGTGGTTAAGGTCCTCGCCTTGTACGCCCGCCGGAGATCCCATATGGGCGCCGGTTCTATCCCAGCAGCCCCGCTTCCCTTCCAGCTCCCTGTCTATGGCCTGGGAAGGCAGTCAAGGACAGCCCAAAGCTTTGGGACCCTGCACCCGCGTGGGAGACCCGGAAGAGGCTCCTGGCTTTGGATCGGCATAGCATTGGCCGTTGCGCTCACTTGGGGAGTGAATCATGGGACGGAAGATCTTCCTCTCTGTATCTCCTCTCTGTATATCCGCCTTTCCAATAAAAAAAAATAATAATAAAAATAAATCTTAAAAAATAAAAAAGAAAACACTAATGACATTCAAAGAACAGAAAAACCTCACCTGACTTGTCAAACACCATACAGTGCTCAGACCTCTTTCAAATCTTACCTGATCCTTAGCAAAAACCATATAGCCATGCTTCCCCAAGCAGGTCTGAAAGTCATGGGCTGGTACAACTTTAATTCCTCTGCCTGGAATGCCAGACCTCCACCACCCCCACCCTCTGCTGATATGCCACCTGCTAGGAGACTCCTATCATTTAAAATCCAGCTCCATCATTATTGTCTGCAGAAAGTCCTAATCAGTCTCTGCCAGGCCCCAAAGCAATGTGTCTTCACATACTTATATAGCTGTCCGCTTGAAAATCTCTACAAGGGAGTATGTTTGTTATAGCATCTGCATTTTTCTACTGCACACTCCTTAAGGCCAGGACTGGTATATCATTCCTGTTTCCTGAAAGGACAGTGCCTGGGGTGCAATGAGTGTCCATTAGCATTTGGAACAATTGAATTATGAAGCAGCAACCTGGGATGGTTCTATTATCCCCACATAACATTAGGAAAAATATGGTTCATAGAATTAGTGACTTCCTAAAATGAAACGCTTATAGACACATATATAGGAGGGAAAGAGAGTTAGAATTCTAGCACCAAATAGAAAAACTACTTTTCAAACTCTTTGAGTTCATATGTTACTCCCTATCATTCCTTGACCTAAATTTCTAAGCTGCCATCATAAAGTTTTCCCTGAGGTTTTCATCAGTAGTATTTCCCCAAAATAACATTCTTTAACTACATAATCTGCCTTTTTGGATTACAACATCAGTATATATTTTTTTTAGTCTAACAGAGGTAAGAAAAACTGAAAAATGAATTGCTTTTTCATGACTTCTTTTTGCAACTTCTCAAAGATTCCATAAAAGACATCTTGAAAGCAGCAAGTTGACAGAAGCAAACATCTCCATTGTTATCTAATGCAATCATCTTATCTAGTGAACAAATCACAGTTGTTACTAAGGGAGAGGGCCCTTGAACCCTTTCTGTGCTTCTCTGGGGTTCTTTGAACATTTCCTGTGTGCTCAAAATGAGGCTAGATTCCTGGGACAAGCAAATAACAGGACAAGGTTCCTGGTCTTGCAGTTAGACTATAATTGCAGGAATTAAATACAGAGGTCTGATTCAAACAAAAAACCCAAATGTTAAGTAGTCCATAGGGTGCAATCTGGACCACACACACCCAACAGCTGAAGGGACAGGAACAGGTGACGATGAGGAGGGGGCAGAATTGGAGGGATTTAGGCTTTGAGTGAAAGATGTTTATTGGTTGAGCAGTTGAAAGGCAGAGGCAGAGCACATCAGGCTCAGGAAGATTTATAGCAGCTGAGATCTCTGCTAATACAATCAGAATGTGTTGGAAAGTGTGTATTACTCAGCCACATTCGCAGTTGAATAACTTCCCTGAGTATGTTAGACAAAACTATGTTTATCTCTCCACTTGAACTTGGTACCCAAAGATGACTTCTGATGAAACCATTCCAATAGTGCTGAGAAGGTGTGAAGGTGTACATCACATTAATGCACAGAAAGCCTTCTTTATCAATGTGCCTTCATCTTGGCTGCTTTCAGTCATAACTGACAAATTTATAGTTTAATCATGTGTACCCTGATCTCTCATTTGAGCTTCCTTTTTATGCATTACTCACATTTGGACTCAAATGATTACAAATGTGCTGTGTGTTTTCTAGACCTGGGAAGTGAAGCCCAACTTGAAATGTGATAATCAATGACTTTTATTCTTTAATTCCTTTCACTTGGTAAAAATATGCCAATGGAATAGAAGTGCAAAGTGTTTTCAAATATACCATGAAAATATTTCTGGGTCCTATAAAAGTAACTTGAAATATTAAAAAAGTGATAAGGCCAAACTCAAGAACCAATATACAAATTTCTGGAACTGGACAAACAATGGGAATTGTAGCACTGCCATCCCACACTACATTGTTCCTTCTGCCACTTTCGTGCCTCCCCATCCAATTTCAGTACCAGTTATAGAGTCACTTCATCACATACATCATAGTCTAACTGCCCCTCCCTTGACCACATCACTTCTAGTCTGTTGGTAAATGACACTCAGAAGAAAAAATGTTCCTATACCCTTGAAAATATGACACACTCTAAGTCTTTAAATAAATTTTGAGTCATCTGTCTAGAGGTGACAGAGCTTAATACACTACTTGATCAGGAACTGCCTCTTGAGACTAGGTGGATTTACTAGTTTCAAAGATTAAACCAGATAAATGAATAATGATAATTCTATATTTTGTTTACTTACAGCAATAAATACAGTAATGCCTGTGTGCACAGAGATACCAACTCAACAACAACAACAAAATCTTGGAAATTAATTATGTTTCTTTACTTTGTATTCTTTTATAAAGACGATACTTAAAATCCATGTTTACTTTAGGAATATCCAACCATTGGACAACTCATTGATAAACTGGTACAAAACAATGTGCTACTGATCTTTGCTGTAACCCAAGAACAAGTTCCTCTGTACGAGGTAAGCGGACATCATTTGAGTCATCCTTACAGAGAGATCATGTGTCATGAAATTTTATGATTTATTCTCTGAGCTGAACACATAGGAAGGCCTTTAGATAATCATTAACACATATCAGATGCACTGGGCACTTGGCAGAGTGGATTCATTCACTGTTTGCAACTTGTTTCATAATCACGAGTGTGGAGTGGAGAATGGAGAGACAGAAATGGTGGAATAGGAAGAATTATTATGCCAATAAAAAAGGTAAGTTAGAAGATTGCATCAATAAACAGAATGTCATCTACTTCAAGAAAAATTAGCTTTACTTCCCCTTGAATTATTTCCTCTGATGAAAAGAGAACTGATTGAGCACAGTGGAAATCTTAAGGGTGAGGGTAGAATGGATCTGAAATTCTCTGACATCCTGCAAATAAAATATATAAAGAAGATGCAAACAGAGACACAATTCAAGCAGTTAGGAAACTCTTGATAAATCGAGCCAAAAGAACCAATTTCTCCATTAGAGTTTAAGACTGAAAGGAAACACTCATTATCCAGTGAGGACTGTTCCATGAAACAAATTGCATGAACTTACAGCCTACATGCAAACACAGAAGACTTCCGTGGTTTCTTTCTATCAAAAACAATACATCAAAATGTCACCAACTGGGCTCCTCACAAGTAACCCACCTCCTCACCTGCAGTACACGCAGAAGTAAGGTGTCATTAGCATGAGCCCTACAGAATGTCAAGGAACTAAGTGGTTGTGTTCCTAATAAATGCTTCATACACTCAACGCAGAGTGTGCGCTCAATTTCCTTTGGAAAGGACCTCTTTACTTCAGGACTGATACAGTACTCATGAAACTAAGATCATTTGACTGGAGGCTTTGATTAAATACCATTCACTACTGAGGATGGTGCAACTCATGAACCTAAATCAGGTTCTGCAGAAAGGGTCCAAGAGAGGATGCTATCGTACATGTTTACTGAGAGGAGGGTCTTTTACACCTGGTGAAACTGCCTTCTGCTGCAGCCAACCAAGTACCTTGCAATCAAGCTTCATACTTGACAACTTTGTTCTACCCAGAGCTCCTGAGGGTTTGCCTGACTGGGACATTTTCTCAAGGCTTGTTCGTCTGTGGTACTCGCTTCCGGTAGTTTTGAAGCAGTAGAGTCGCAGGAAAAATTAAAATTAAAAATTACTCCCAAATACAATATTGAGTCTATTTTGCCTCTGATTCTTAAGGCTAGAGAGAGCGCTGGGGGCCACAACACCTCCTCCCCAGCAAGACTCTGGCTTGGAGGAGGTAGGGTAATAAACGGAAACCTTTTTCCAAAGGGCAGCCTGGGGAACCCCAGCAATGATCATGATGATCAGGAACACACACACACCCATTACTCATTTTGTAATAGTCTTTAAGGCTCACAACTCATTTATACGCCTCCTCCAAACTGCTATGAAAAAGACAGAAGATGAAAAATAACTGCGGCAAAACAGAATCTGTTGGATGTTAGCTACTGCATCCGCAGCACCCCCCTTGTTGCAAAAGAAAGGTTCATTTCCAAGGAAAACGCCAGAATAAAGCCTGCCTGGAATGTAACAGCAGGACATTTATTTTGCCTGTCTACTAATCTCATTAGGAGGCAAATCTATGTTCTGTCATGATCTGTGGTCTTCCTTTGCAGGCCCAATTCATTTCCAAGGGACATTTTTGCAGAAGCCACAATGGGGAGTGGGTCAGCAGGCCCTCTCTGCCTCTGGTCTTCTTGTCATTTTATTTTTCTACTGATGGGTTTATCATTCCACCTGTGATGGTGCAAGCAGGCAGCAACCCCGTCTAAACATAATGACAGCAACAGTGCATTTCCCCGAAGGCTTTACACGGCCTGGAAGTGCTGATCTCTTGTGCCAGTGATAATGAAAACTGAAAATAGACCAATAATGGCTGGTGTTGCCTTTCCATTTAAACCTCTTAGAAGGAGCCCGTAGGGTGCTGGAATCCCATGCAACCTGATGTTGGGAGAGCTGTAAGATAGAGAACATAACTGCTGAAGAATCATCACAAAATAAAACTGCTGATAGGTAGAATAAAGCAGCAGAGTGGTTAGCCCTAATGGGAATTCTAGAAGGAAAATGATTCAGCAAGAGTTAAGTGTTGAGTACAGTTACGGATCTGCACAGCAGGTAGTAGATAGGCTGCATTCAATGGCAGCCCCAAATAGCAGCAAATAAAATCTGTTTGGCACACTTATGACATTCAAGAAAACTGACCGAGTTATTTTTTTTTTAAGTAATCTTGGTAAGATGCTGTAGACTGCCCAGGTGTGTTGTGTAGCTATACATGTTATAACAGAGATGGATAAGGTAAGCAGTTTTGCTTCAGTGCAGTGCGGCTATAGTGTGAACACCAGCCTCCAGCAAAGAGATGATTTTGAACAAACTTATTATTATGAATAGTTTCCTGTTTGTCCAATTACAGGGTTCAAAACATAATGATAGATAATCGACAGAGCAGTGGGTAGCATATTACATTCTAGTGCTAAATATCATTTTGAATCAGGATTCAATTACGCAAGATAAAAAAAATTTGTATCTCCTCTGTTGTTTTTAAGAGTTTACTGTTAATTTACATTAAGATAGTATCAGGCTGCTAAACCCCCATTGTCTAATCCGACTAGCCTTAGAGACAGTGAGATGAAAAGCAGTGTTCCTCACCACATTGTCAAACCCTATTATTAATCACCTTGGGTTATTTGCAAAACTTTAATATACCCTGTATCTTTTCAAAATGTTTACATCTGGCTGGAGAAGGCAACTTTTGTGAAGTTAATTACAATAATTATGATAAGACCTGGTATTTATGATGTCATGCTGAAACACAGCACTTAGAAAGACAAGAACAAGACCCGCAGGAGATTCTTGCAGTCTACTCGTCAGTGTCTGCGACCACTGAGTGATGTCTGACAGCATTCAGACCAGGGGCAAAGCAGGATTTTACACCTAGAGATGAACAGCCTCAATTATTAGCTCTTTAAGTTTTTAGATCGGTGGGTTTTGCTCATCTTGTTTTTCATCTTTTAAGTCAATTGAATCACAGTAAATTCCCATTAAATATTTTGAGTCAATTAAATTTAAAATTTTAATATTTATTCATTTATCTGGAAGGTTAAAAAAATAAAGAAAGGAAGAGGGGCAAATAAAAAAAAGAAAAATCTTTCATCTATTTTCCAAAATGTCTGCAACAGCCGGGCCAGTCTAAAGCCAGCAGTTTGGAACTCCCTGCAGATCTTGCACAGAGGTGTCAGGGACCCACATACAGGAGTCATCCCCTCATGCCTCTCAGGTACACATCGTCAGGAAGCTGGAATCTCAGGTGGGGCTGAGAGTTGAACCCAGTCACTCCAGTGTGGGACGCGGGTGTCTCCTATGGTATCTAAACTATCATGTCAAACGCCTGTCCTAATATTTATTGAATGAATAAAAACACAATAAGAGTACCTCCTCTTTTCTAAAATTGATATTCTAAACAAGGACTTTGAGTCTGGGTTACAAGTACTAGTTAGGGCTGAGGAAGACCATTTACCGTGAGCCAGTAGAGTGGAAGCGGAGCAGCTGAGACTTAATAACAGTTCGTTCATATGGGATACCAGTGATGCAGGCTTAAGCTTAACCCAGTGCACCATGACACCAGTCCCCTCTGCTCTGGTCTTGAACCAGTCTTTTGGAGAAGATCCACAGCCGTCTGAGGAGCCCATGGAAGGAAACCCCTAACTACTCGTTCATCTCATTGTTGAATGTTTGATCTAAAGACAAGCATAAAGGGCAGTTGTAACATGAAGGGGCTTCAAAAAGTTGGTGGAAAAATAACTCAAACTCTGTTCATTTTGGTGAAAAAAACTTCACTTCAGAGACTAGACAATTGACCTGTCTGAAGTTCCCTCATATGCAATAAGCCTGATGTTCTTGGGTGGTTTGTGAAAATCTTCTGCCATGTACAAGTTTCAGTGTTTCTGGACTCCATAACCCAGTTTTTAGTTTGCCTCTTCTTCCTTCTTGATATTTAGAGCCTTTTACGACAGCAAGACAGAAAAGGAGACAGAAAAAATGAGAGGGAAAAGTAAAAATTGAAGACCTTTGCTCTTCTCTCATTGCTTTATTTCATATCGTTTGTTTGAGAGTGTTTCATTCTACTGGTTTGCTCCTCAGATGCTCACACCAATCCAGCTTGATCGGGCTGAAGCTCAGCGTTAGGAACTCAATCCAGAATCTCCAGTGTCTGAGAGCCTGGAGGGTCTCCAGAGACAACGTTCAGCTAGCTGCCACATAGCTAAATGCAGGGCAATGGCCTAGAAAGTTGTTCTTTGTGCTGTCTATCCCATCTGCTAATGGGATATTCTTAACTCACGATTTTTTTTGTGACCATAAAATCTTTTATGAATTAAAAAGACAACTTCTAAATTACAAGGCATTTCTATGGACTTAGCAAACTGATTTTAATTCAAGTGGAATGGAAAAGATTTCGATTGCTCCTTAACTGATAATATCTCAGAACAAAGGCAAGAGGACCTGCTCCCTACATGTTCCTCATTAATAGAAATATGCCTTGGAGAGGCAAGATTTGGAAATAAAGCCCCTGACCTCAGAATACCAGGCAGCGTTGTTAAGCAGATGTTTCCAGAGTAAAGAAGAAATCCCAACCATGAAAAAAAATCATCAGTGGTTACCCCATAGATCTCCCACAGCGTTCTTCTAAAGAACACAAAATCTCAGGCCAACATTGTGGCACTGCATGTAAGGCCACTACCTGCCACAATGGTAACCCATATGGGCACTGGTCATGTTCTGGCTGTTCCACTTCTAATCCAGCTCCCTGCTAATATCCCTAGGAACAGCAGCAGAAGATGGCCCAAATATGGGTCCCCTGCAATATCCATATGGGAGAACTGGGAGAGGCTTCTGGTTCCTGGTTTTGGCCTGACCCAGCCCTGGCTGTTGCAGCCATCTGGGAAGTGAAA